CACACACACACACACACACACACACACACACACACACACACACATATAAACTAAGAAGGATTTTGTTTTTAGTTTTTCCTGTAATTTTTGTCATGGATGTTAATGTCATCCTTTGCTCATTCAGATAACTGGGTACCCAAACAGAGAGTTGTATTGGTAGGTCAGCTGGCGCAATGATATTCCAATAAAGTCTCCTTTGTTGATTCAGTCTCCAAATGCTTTGTTTTTTTCTCCCTTTAGGTGAGAGTTTTTCTGACACTATAAGAATCAAGGGATGTAAAATAGAATGATTGCCATGATTTTCAATATACACTTTTATTTACCTATTCATTCATTTATATATCTATATGCCCACCTTTCCAAAAGTAACTCTGAGCTGTATGCAATACTGTTGGAAGAAATATCCTGGTTACAAGCCGGGAGAAAGGCACTGGAAACAAAATGAAGGCTGGAGGCTGATTGAAAAGAAGATCCATTTATTGGTGAACAAAACCCCCAGGGTTTGTGGTTCTTGTGCAGCTGAACAAATGGTTGAATGAGCGGATGGATCTTTATAGGTTTCTGTGACCAAGTTTGAACTGTTCTGGGGGCGATGCAATGAAGGGGCTTGTGTTCTGAAAGGGTGTTGGGCAATTCCTATTGTGGCTTAATGGCTTTCGTCTTGTGTTGGATCCATGGGTGAGGGGCTGCTTTCTAATCCTACCATTCTGCCTGCGTTAGCTGTCAAACTTTGCTGGAAGAAATATCCTGTCTTGAATGGATTTCTGCCTGCAGTCTTTGCTTTGCTTATGAACAGAACTATCTAGATACTTGTCTTCCTCTTTCAATAAGCTCTTTAACTCTTAAATGCTGGCATCTGCTCTTGGCTATTAAGAAAGACTAGGGCTGATTTCTGTCTTTAAGAGCATGTTTCTCCATTTCTCCTTTAGCTAAATATAATATTCTGCCTTTTTAATATTTCCCAAAATATCTCATTCTTCTAGGAGGGCTGGGGGGGGGGGGGGGGGCTTCCCACAGTACAATAATAAAATAGTCAATCACATGAAATCAAGTATAATTAGTATGGCCTTTGACCAGCATTTACAATAAAATAGTACAGTAAAAAGGGAAATAATTTAACACATTTGTTATTGGGGAAGGGAAAAAATAATACGGCTATAAAACAATATATATAAATAAATGTTTTGTGCAGTTGTACACAGCTTAGTATTTGATATTTGACTTGATATATTGGCCACCTGAATTTTGAGTGTGGGGATAGCATCCTTTCAAAAATAATAAACATGAAATTTATCTTCCTGGCTATCATATTTGGCGATGATTGGGGCTAAAAGAGTAAACATTAAGAAAAATCATTACTTAAAAAAAATTAAACTCATAAGGCCTAGGAGAAAGTAGATGTCAACATCACAATCTCACTGATTTCCCTGGGATCTTCTGGTGTGATGTCATATCAAGGACTTGAGGGATTTCCAGAAAATTCAGGGTTGGCGCTAATCTCATGGCTGGGGAAGGGGTGTGTGTGAGGAATATTCCATAAAGTGAGCGTTATGGCAGAGAAGGCCCTCTCCTGGGACTCGCTAAGGCAGACATGTCAATCACGTGGCTCGTGGGCCAAATCTGGCCTGCGATAGGCCCAGAGTTGTCCCATGGGGCTGTGCCGGAGATGGCAAAGGACTGGCCCCTGCTATCCCAGCCCCGGGGGCTCACTCTGGCCATGCCCACCCAGTTGGCTGCAATGACCAGCCACCCCCCGCCAAGGGCAAACAAACTGTTAGGAATAACAAGGTTACCTAACGTAGTTTGGGTAAAATAATATATATAAACTATGATAGTAAGTTTAAGTGTGTGTCACTTTAAACTGCAAAGCATGTAATTTTGGGTGCGGTTGTAAACTGCCATAAGAGGGAGCAAGAGAACCTGCTGAATTGCTGACGATTGCTGGTTTGATGGATTGCTGGTTTGCTAACTGCGTGTTCCCTACTGCTGAGTTGCTGAACGTTGAAGAAAGAAAGGAGGTTTGACTTCTTCATATCTCTACTGCGAGGAGATATATTACTTTTATTTGTAATATTTGTAAGTTTACTGACCTCTTTTTCGACACTGGACTTTGCAACTGTATAATCCCCGGACGGACTGAATTAGTGAATGATATATGGACTGTTTTGACTATGCTAAAACTATTACTGGAATAAACTATTTAACTAGCACAGTGTATCTGTTTTACTGAGTGTAAGCTACAAAAATGTTTATCTCACATATTTTGCCTGCCTGCCTGACTGCCGTGCAGATTCTGCTAGGGTGTATCCCTAACACAAACCCTGATTCGGCCCACAATGGAATCGAGTTTGACGCCCCTGCACTAAGGGATCCGTAGCAGGATGCCTTCTCTGCCAGAGCTAAGGCGATGGGCAGGGGTAACTGGGGAGAGGCAGTGGCTCAGCTAACCCAGTCCAACGCCACGAAGAGCTTTCAAGGTTAAAACCCTGCAGCTTAAGTTGGACCCAAAAGCAAAACTGGCAACCAAGGCAACTTGTGAGGCAGAGGTGTAAAATATAATGCTGAAATCAATATAGAGGTGTTACCCAGTGTTCCTCAAACTTTTCTTCAGCAGGGATCCCATTTTAAATACTTCTTGTGTCCACAGACCCCCAAGACTTAACTCAAGATTTAAATTGTAACATTTATTTTTCAAGCCTTCACGGATAACTTGTGATAACATTGCCATCCCCCAGGGTGTCCACAGGTTGAGAACCACTGGTCTAAACCATGTGGAGATGTAAACAGTCTAGAACAGTAAACAATGCAGAACTGTAAACATGATAGAGATATAAGACGATATCATACAGAGGAAAATCCAGAGGAAATAAGCAACTCGTTAAACATCTGAACATCTTCTAGCTATCCCAACCCAGGCCTGAGGAGAGTTTCTTTCAACATAGTTGTTAGGGACCTGTTAGGTCACCTAACAGGTATTTGGGTTAGAAATATATAAACCAGGATAAACATTTTAGTACTATGTCTTTAAGAGCTTGCTAAAAACTGCAATTGGGTGCGGTTACTCAAATGGCCATAAGATGGAGCCAGAAACGTGGGTTGTTTAGCCTTAGTATCAGAAGAGAGTGAATCTCTGTTTCTTTCTGTTGGAAAGTATTGCCATTCTTCCATTTCTTCTCATTGACTGAAATTCATGGATTTAATGTAAGTCTGATACTGAACTGTTTTTGACACTGGACTTTGTTATTGAATTATCCCTGGATTGAAAAAACTGACTGATTTACCTATGAATGACTTTGGACTGCTTATCTTGACCTTTGCTTAAACTTTCTGGAAGTAAAAACCTACATTTACTGTACAGTGTATCTGTGTACTGTGTGTGTTTTATTCAAACACTACTCTCAAATACGCCTCCCTGTATGGGCTCATTCTCCTAACGGGGAATTACCTCAACAATAGTCAAAGGGGGGGAGGGGGAACTCTCTGCCCCCTCTATTTCACATCACCACCCTAACTCCTTATTCATTCAAAAAAGGAGATCCTAAGATTTGACCTCTGACCAGCAAGATCAAGAGTTAAGACAACCATATTACCAGTATATGATACGCTAGGATGGTCATGTGAAAGAAACTCAAGGCCCGCGAGGCCAGATCCAGCCCACGATGTGGTTAAATCATCTGACTCGCGGAGACTGTAAGAGACCGGCCTCCAGCACCTTGGCCCCAGCCCAGCTGGATGCTCCCCCAGGATGCATGCAGGAGGAGGGACAGTAGTAGAGCAGCGCGTAGAGCCCCAGCAGCAGCGCTGCGCCCACTACCAGCGCCTCCAGGGATACCATGCCCCATTTGCCGGCCTGGCCTTGCCTGCTGGTCCTGCAGCCTGCAAGCGGTTCCCTTTCCCCGGAATAGCCCCACCTCCCGCCCCGCCCCCATGTAGGAAAGCCACGGCCACTGGCATCACTGCCACTCTATCGCCCTTCCCTCCTCCCAGCCTCCAGCATTCCTTCCACCCTCTCCCCCTCCCTTTGTCCTTTTCTGGACCCAGAGGGAGGGAGGGAGGAGAGAGGGAGGGAAGAAGGAAGGAAGGAGTTTGGAAGGGGAGGGAGGGTCTGAGGGAAATTCTGTCTTAGCACATGGCCACCAGCAGCCCTGCTGCTCTCTCTCCAGGAAGGAAGGAAGGAAGGAAGGAAGGAAGGAAGGAAGGAAGGAAGGAAGGAAGGA